TGGAGTCCTAAAAGCTGGAGAAACTAACCAAAGATAAAAAAATGACGTTAAGGCGGACCCAGGGTATATGTTCCCCCTCAACGTCAGGGGCCTCAATGTTGACATTAAATTCCTACGGACGTCGGATGAACGACACGTGGGCGAAAAGGGAAAAAGGGGGGGTCAACCCGAGTAGAACAAGGATAATGTTCCCGAGCTGTATAAACCGACCTCGGAGGACCAACTACGACAAGACACCGACCTCACAGTAAAGGCGACCTCAAATATGGGCCGATGTCGGTGCTGACAGACAGCATTAAATGCGCATCCATCAAGATAGCTGAGGGCCACGTGAGGGCATCATTGCAAAGGGGACCCACTTGCTGAAAAGGTTCTGGGCCCTGTCATGCTGCATTAAATGCCGCCGTATCCCCTCAAAAGACGAGCCCACAGTTACTATAAATAGCAGTATTAAACACAATACGAGGATCTTTTTTCGACGCATTAAATTTCGCATTTATCACCTCGGTCTTGGGATATTCTCCAACATTATTGTACTATTGAAAACCGACCTCAAGTCCGAAAAACCGACTTGAGTCAATCACGAATTACTCCACGTTTAATCAATAAACTCATATCATTTCCACGTGAATCCAAGAGATTAACAACAAAAAAGGTTGATCAAATCCGTTTATCAACAATTGCCTCTAGTTATAGTCCAACACGATTTTGCTATGGAGCCAACAATTGGTTTTATAATGAAGTCAACCTTCTATATATAACAAGTAATATGCCATATTATTTGATTACTTAAATAACACTAATATAATCTATATCTATATCAAAAGGTTGTTAGAAAAATACATTTATAGCAAGTTTGACTAAAAAATAAAATATTGACTTTCTAATTTAAGTAAGATGATTAAAATCACATGTGGATAAGTCACATTAAAGAGATAATGCAAATTAATTAATTAAAGACTAATTAGAATAAGTGGATAAGTCACATTAAAGAGATAATGTAAATTAATTAATTAGAGATATAATTAGAATATGTGGATAAGTCATATTAAAGAGATAATACATATTTTTAATTAATGTGAATCCTATTTGAAAAGAAAAGCATTAATTAATTAATGGGAATCCTATTTTTCGAAATTAATATTATTTGAAGAAAGTACATTTAATAGTTTATATTAATAAATATTTGTTTGATTATAATATTTATATTAATTAATTTGTGTTACATAATAAATGCAGATATTAACGATAAAAGGATAAATATTAACACCACAATTCTATCCTAACAAACAATAATTTGTAGATAAGCCTCAATTCCACATTTGTGGATAAGCCACAATTTCACTCATGATCAAACAATATTTTTATAAAATGGTTGAATAAATTTTGCTTAAATCTATATTATAATAAGTCATATATTAATCTCTAATCTGCAGATAAGTTATTACTTAAAATCGCACGTGGTAGTCCTCTATTCATGAAAAACAGAAACTAAATTCATAATTAATTGTATGGTGATAATACTGGATCAAGAATATATGGATAACCGAAATAATTTAAATTGCACGTTGTAGTTTAATTATTAAATTAAAATTTAATGGTTTAGAGATAATTATTAATGGTCTAGAGATAATATAGGAAAAATAATATGTAGATAAGTGATGATTTAAAATCGCATGGGTTAGTTCTTTATTAATGCAAAATCACAAACTGAATTCATAATTTACGTAAGAGATAATATTGAACAATAATATATTGACATCTCATTCTTTAACATTGCACGTGGTAGATAATTTGCATGGTATGAATTAGTTAAGATATATATTGACAACGAAATATCTCATCTTCTTAACTAAATTACACTTATCTTATCATCATACAAGAGTTTCAATTTATTAAAACTCATATTTTAAATTAATCTAATATTTATCAACTATTATCCCATGCCTATAAAATTATAGAATGATAGTGCATCACGTATCGCAAAAAAATCTTACTCCCATTTGGACGTAAAGCATTGAAGCAGAAAAATGGCAAAAGCATGGGGAAACATCAAACAAGTAATAAGGACTAACAGGCCAATGATCAAGCTAAGAGTTGTTCGAGTCTTTCAAATGACTAATGAATACTCATCCTACAAGAACATCCTTGAGATTGTCTTTCATGACATTGAGGTATAATTTACAATAAAAGTTAATGATTAAACATTTCTTATCATATTACACTATAATTTATAATATTATATTTTTTTTTTTCAAGCGCGGTCGAATTATTGCAATAATAAGAGCAATAAACATCCATACTTTCATCAATAAATTTGAAGAAGGGGCTATCTATGCACTTCGAAACTATCAGGTCGAGAGTAACATTAGAATGTACAGATCTATCATTGCCAAATACATGCTTATCTTACATGGTAGAACTGAACACATAAGCTACAAGGATGACTTTTCAATTTACCATTGCCAAATACATGCTTATCTTACATTGCCAAATACATGCTTATATTATAATATAGATTTAAGCAAAATTTATTCAACCATTTTATAAAAATGTTGTTTGATCATGAGTGAAATTGTGGCTTATCCACAAATGTGAAATTGAGGCTTATCTACAAATTATTGTTTGTTAGGATAGAATTGTGGCGTTAATATTTATCCTTTTATCGTTAATATCTGCATTTATTATTATATAACACAAATTAATTAATATAAATATTATAATCAAACAAATATTTATTAATATAAACTATTAAATGTACTTTCTTCAATTAATATTAATTTCGAAAAATAGGATTTCCATTAATTAATTAATGCTTGACTTTACTACAACGTGAAGAGGCTAGCAACGGCAAGGTCTATGTTCATTTCTCACACATTATTTTTCTTCAAAATTGTAAATTTATTTCATACAAATAATCATATACAATTAAAATACTAAAATTTTTAGATATTATTGGTTATTAGTGATTTTGATTTTTATGGTTAATGTTGTACCGCATATTTTACGTATCTAATTATATTAATGTTTAATACATAACACTGGTAATCGAAATAAATTAAATTATAAATAAAAACATTGGAAATTCATTTTTCCTTTTTTAAATTTTTTTTTATTAATATAGATGTTAAAAGTTAAGTAAATTATAACAAAAATTTATCACTTTATTTTTTTGAAATAAAACAAAATCAAACCTATACAATTGAACAAAAAAATTAATTTAATACATTTTTTTATCTTCCAATATTTAAGTTAATAATATAACCACGCAGAACTAACTGTATGATTTTGTAATAATTAAAATTTCCGAACAACAAATACATTGTATGAAATAAATAATTTAGAAATTATATGTAAATATTAAATCCCCATACATAAAAAATAACAATATTTCTTTATGTTGTAATTTTTTTCATGGAAGAGTTGATTATGAAACGTAATAATGAAATAAATAATATCAACACCTCACATTACTCAAGTAATTATAAGAAATAACATTCAAATAAATAATATATATAATAAAAAGAGCAGTTGGGGTACGTAACTCTAGCATTATAAAAAAAATAAAAAATAAAACAATTATTTAAAATTTTAAAACATAACATAATTTAAAACATTTTTTATCATCAAAATGGTAAGAGTTGGAGATTGATAGAGTCAACAACAAAACAACACTTTGTGGTTATCCAAACAACTAATATAATACTAACACATGTTAAATACACATTTAAACAAATATGACAGTTCTCCATATGGTTTCTTACGCCACGACTATAAAAAGAGACAAGGACAATCCTTATCTCATGTTGACTTATTTGTTAATAAATCAGTGTTCAATCATGATCAATTATATGTTGCTGACTATGAACAAGAGACATGGACAATCATTATCTCATGTTGGCTTATTTATTAAGAAAACAATGTTCAGTCATGACCAGTTATATATCTGCCAAAGAATCAAACCAATAATGTTGTATATAGAGAAGTGTTCAATAATATATAATTTTTTCAGTTTAATTATATGTTTATAAGTCTAATCTTATGATCATTGTATTATTACCTAATTTATATACAAAATTGTCTTATAACACGCACCAATAGTATAATTTTCCCGTGCATCGCACGGGTGATTACTAGTTTTATTAATATGGTAAGTTTACTTGTTCAATATGGAACATATAATCGCTAGACATGGCCACGGGTTGACCCGGACCGAACCCGGCCCGGACCGGCCCGGAAAATCCGGTTTTCGAACCGGAACCGGCCTTGTGGAGGGCAGGTCCCGGGCCTCCTTCGATCCAAAAAAACCAGCGGTCCAGTCCGGGTTCGGGCCGAGTTCGCGGGTTTTGAGCTGCCGGTTTTTTAAAAAAATTGGCCGGGCCCGGCCCCAACCCGGATCAACCCGCCGGGTTTTTGACCCGGCGGGTTAGGGCCGGTTCAGTGAACCGGCCCTTACTTACCAGCGGGCCGGGCCCGGTTCAATATATGCTAACCTGTCGACCCGGCGAGCCGGGCCNNAGAAAGACTTCTAGACATCTTCTATCTATATTATATTATTTATTTTATATATTTCTATACACCAACTAATTATTTTCTTACACGTGTCAATTTATTCTACAATTGACATTTACCATTGGAGACAAACTATTTTTATTGCTTTTTTCCACAACATACATATCAAAATAGACATGACACCATTGGAGATGCTCTCAGATTCCCTATGAATCCAATCAATATTCGGTGAATTTTCTTGGAGCAATCTCGCATATTCAGTCCGGTTTTGTGTTTGGCCGATCAATTTTGCCGGAAAAAGAAGAACCGAAAATGTCGTCATCGGAATCGATTCTGACGCCGACCCAGAAGTACGCCGCCGGAGCTCTTTTCGCGCTGGCCCTGCACCAAGCTCAAATACACCAGACCAGCCCTTTGGGTTTCCCCTCCAGCCAGGACGGCGGAGACTGCGGTGACGGCGACCCGTCGGAGGAACGCGTCAGTAGTTGCAGTAGCAGTAGTGACGCTGTCTCTGAAGATCCCCAGCTATGGGTCCACCCATCCTCCGGTCTTCTCAGGCCGGTCTTCAAGTATTGATCGGTTCCCCCTTTTCTCTTAGTGTTTGTTGGTTTGATCGTTGATTATGTTTGACACTGAGATGAACATTTGGCTTATAAATGTAGATTTCTGGGAATTGATAGCAAAGCCTGGGATGGGCTGGAGGAGACTGTGGCATATTCACCTGCTAAGAATCATGTTGGAGCTGTGAGTTTAGATTCTGAATTGAAGCTTTTTTCATTGTACAATTTTTTTCACTTCACATTCATTGTTAGTTAGCAAATTTCCAGCTGAGAAAAAGCTCTCTAAAGATTTTCTTTTTCAACTTATGTGCAATTTCGCCGTCTCACAATGTTGAATGGAATTTGCTTGAACTTATTGTGTTAGAGATACCATTGTCACTATTTATTGTTATTGGAGTCACCATTGCTAACCACTTTGATGAGTTATTGTGATATTTTTGGGAAATGCATGTGTGTGTTAATCATGTTGAAGTTTGTGATCAAGTTTATGTTTTCGTTTATTCGTTATACAGAAATTTAGGATTTTTCAGTTGAGAGGAATACTGTTTTCTCAAAGGTTACCGTCAATTAACATTTTCTCCGGATTATCTGTACTTCTGTGCTGAGTTTTGCTCGATGTTAGAATTTATGGGACGTTACGTTTTATTTAACTGTATAACCCATTGGGTGAATGCCAAATTTATTAGGATTTTTGTTACTTCTTCATCAGTTTCTGAGATTACTTGCTGAGGACAGTGGTGACACATCTGAAGCTTCTGATATGGAATTGGCTTTGTCAAAAAGTATAGAGGCCATGTCTCTGAGCATGGAAGAGACTTCTGCTGATTACGAATCCAAAAAGGAAAAACAACGTGAATACGAGCATGCTTGCCGGGAGAAGTTTTCAACCCATGATAAGATGCTGGACTCAAAATCTGAAGAGAATGATAGGCCCAATAACCATCCGCAGGAAATAAGTGCTGTCACATCTGTAGTTGAGGAGGCCCATGTAAAATCCATCAGTGGATCTGAAGGAAAACAACTGGAAGAATTAAAAATGCTTGGTTACCCAAGGAAAGTAATAGTTCTGTATGAGCTTCTATCAGCTTGTTTAGCCGATCCTGATACCCCTGAAGACAGCAAGAAATCCACTAGGCGAAAAAAGGGCTATGACGCCAGGCATCGTGTGGCTTTGAGGCTGCTTGCTACCTGGTTCGATGTCAATTGGACAAAGATGGTAAATTTTATGCTTGCTGACAAGTTGGAAATTCTAAGTTTTGTGGCATGCATGTGTTATCAGTTAGTGCTGAGATGTTTTGTGCTGTTGGGAGCCTTGTGGGGGTTTTGTTGACTGTTATAAATAGGATTTCCTGGTGGCGTGCGGCTGTTAGAATTAGGCAAGGGATGATGGTGTATTTTAAATGTTAAGTGGAAATGTGTATTTTGGTTTCTTCTCTTCTTCTTGGAGTAAACATAATATGATTTTAATATAGAACACTGTCCCTGAGTTAGCACAACTTCTTCCTATAAAAGTTAAATATCAAACGTGTTTGGATGGTCTTAGGTGTCTCTCGTTTCATTACTTATGTCATAAGGGTGATGCTCATACAATCCCAATAGATATCTATTCTTATTAGCTCCTAGCTTAACAACTAAAAATTGTTGAGAAGTTCTATGCTTGAACTTTGGCATGACTATAACTTAGGATACCTTTTTTCCTGGTTTCCTTTCCAAATCAAATTGTCTTTTGTGGGAAACTATTGAAACCATGGTTATGTGTTCTGAAATGCCTCTTCTTAAAGAGGAGCAGTTGAAATGAAAATTCCTTTGCTTGAACTTTAGCATGTGACTGTAAATTAGGATACCTTTTCCTGATTTCCCTGTCAACACAAATTATCTTTTGTAGGAAACTATTGAAAAGATGGTTACTTATTCTGCAATGGCTCTTCTTAAAGAGGCGCAATCGAAAGAAGCGGCCCAATCTTCTAAAAGTTCATGGGACAAGTGGAAACGAGGAGGTATCATAGGTGCTGCAGCATTAACAGGAGGAACTTTGATGGCTGTTACTGGAGGTTTGTCATCTTTTAGTGATTATAAATATTTTCCATTTCAGAGTATGGCTGAAAGAAGCTTCTTGTCAACTTTCTAAAGGTAGTTCTCGTAGGATGTTGTAACTTCGATCTCAGGCTGTAATTGCAAAAAAATCATGTTCAAACAGGTTTAGCTGCTCCAGCAATTGCTGCTGGATTCGGTGCTTTAGCACCTACGTTAGGGACTATCATCCCTGTTATTGGAGCTGGTGGGTTTACGGCTTTTGCTAGTGCTGCTGGGAGTGTTGCAGGTTCTGTTGCAGTTGCTGCTTCCTTTGGTGGTAGGTGTAAGACGCATTTTTTTTTTTTTAAAAAAAATAAGTGGGCAAATACAAACGTTGAGTCTATATATATAGGGGTTGGTTCAAATAAAAACTAGTCCTGGTGTAAAAACCGTGAGAACCATGTTTGATGCTATTTTTAATTGTGTATGTTGCTATTTTTAATATTACAGGGTGCTATTATTTTCACAAATGCTAATGTAGATTGTGTTTCTATTTTTAATCAAATACATCCTGATTAAATCTAGCATTAAAACACAATCAATCATAGCACTACGCACAATTAAAAATAGCGGTATTCTTGGGTCCCTCGTTTGAAAATTGAGACTTTACCCGAAGAAATAATACAAACTAAGTTCTCACGGTTCTCACACTAGCACTTTGTTCTCATTTGAACCACAGATATATATATATATATATATATATATTATTTTGTGATTGGGGTGTATCTTAGTGGTGGGTTCTGTAGTTCTTCCTTGTTTAGTGCATGAATCCACAGCTATTTAACTTGTGTTTATCCATCTTATGTCTTCCTGACTTTTGATCGAGCCAGCCGCTGGAGCTGGACTTACAGGGAGCAAAGTAGCTAGGAGAATAGGAGATGTTGATGAATTCGAGTTCAAAGCTATAGGGGAAGAACATAACCAAGGGGTGAGTTCTCTGACTTTTTAGTTTTTTCACAAACTGGAAAAGTAAAAGACTGAGAAAATTGTCTGATATTTCTTACTCTCTTTTGTCTTATTAATGTCACTTGGTCTACTTCTGTGTTTGTACCAAATGCGTGGAACTCTGTTTACCCTGTCCATTGTTATAATGCATTCCTTCTCTTCATTGTTATCAGCGACTAGGGGTTGAAATCTCAATATCTGGATTTGTTTTTGAGGAGGAAGATTTTATAAAACCCTGGGAAGGACAACCGGATAACTCTGAAAGGTAGACCTCGTTCTCCAATATTTGTTCATTTTTACCAAAATATCACTCCAGTAATGGTTTGGGGAAGAGAATTCTCTCATGGGAATATTTTATGTTCTTTTTTTTTCCCTTATAA